TAAATTTATAGAGATAAAGTTTGTTATTTCTATTATCTTTTCTTCCGAGTTTTATGTATACCTTCTGGTTTAAGGCAAAAAGAGCAATTTCATACAATGTAAATCTTTATTTCATATTGGAAAAACCGTTCAAAATCAGACAGAGACACAGATAAAATGTAGTGAAAGTATATAAACGATATATTAAAAATAAAAAATATATACGTTAAGTACAGTTGTATGTAATAAATTCTCATGATAAAAATGGTTACAAAGTAACGCCAAGAATTTCAGTTTAAAATAAATGCACGCGTAGTTTAAAATTAACGCATTATGTACATGTGAACATAACATGTTAAATATACCAGTATATATTAAACACGTGACTGTATTAGCTGAAATATGTAGGACTTAGAAATAAGTAATTACTTAGAAGCTTTGCTAATAAGGATACGTTTTCATCATCTAGAAAGAAAGAGAGAAAAATACATTTATTTACCAAAAAATTTTTGAAAAATGGTAATGGTGGACTGATTATTGGTTGGTGGTTGAGGTCGCAGGTTCGAATACTAACTAACGGCAGAGAATACTGGAGCCAGTCTCAAAATTTCACCAGAGGCAGGTCGAATGACTGATCAACCATCGTTTTAGATTGCTAATCTCGATTGCTATATTAAAGCACGCTGAAACCTAATAAGTGCTTTCTTCCTCGTTCTTCCCTGTATTTTTGTACAATTTTAATCGCAAAGAAACATTTCTGCTTCGCCCTATTATGTCGTAGTCTGATGTTAAATACCATATAACCTTCCTCTAAGATTGAGCTATTAAATGCAAAAAGATTTCTTCGAATCCGACTGATAGTGTCAAAGATTGCGTGCAAACAAACAAACTCTTTAGCTTTATTATTATAGATTTTTGCGGATGGATCACTATAATACAATATTAAACTGATAATACATCTTCAATAGTATCATTCGTCTCACATACCGATGTGAACATATTCATTTCACGACGCCAAGTCTAGACTCTAGACACTTGTCAATTCGCTGAAGTGCTGTTTCAATATCATAAACATTTTTCATGAAACAATACGATGGATATTAAAATATCGTCAATAACGTTGAGGATGTACAATGGGAATTTCTTTCCAATTCAATGCAAAAAATGTGACGGGCATTTGTGTTAAGGAAGTTAAGATTCCATCCACGATTATGGAATAGTCTGAATATTAGTAGTTTCTGTAGAATTTTAGTTTCGTAAGAATGTCATGTAACAAGGAATTATGGTTTCCTTCTAGACTTTGATAATATTTTAATTACGGATTATGTGGTTGACACTGGCTACGTCCAGAGGTTTGTCTACATAGCATTGGCAGTATATTTTTAGCACGGCTTCAATAAAATCAATCTATTTAGCATGAGTAACGTATCTAGTTTTATGGCCACATCCATTCAAAGTCGTCAATATGACTTTTTTACTCATTTTCGACTTCTTTTCTTTTTCTTCTTGACGTGAATATCTGCCACCAGAGCACTTATGTAGACCAGTACTAAAACCCAAATAATTGAAACTTCAATGATTCAAGAAGATATTTATTGAAATGTCATTTTTGTGGTTTGTTATGTTTTGCCAAAGCAAACCATGTTATAGCGGATATTGGGTACGGAACCCTAATAATTGGTGGAGAAAAATTAAGCAAAAAAACGTGCTCTAAGTCATTAGAATTCAAAATGGTAGTCTTTATAATGAAAAATGTTAGGCAGACAAACCTGTATTTTAATACCAGTATGTTAATTTCGGCACGGTTGATTCGTGTAATATTCAGGTTCCAAATAAATTGGCAAATCGTTTTTAAGTTTAATTTATCCCCCCGTTCGTTTTATGTGATATTATTATACGAAATTGCGAGATGGAATCGTTACAACACACACGTTAACTAATATCGTAGCAAATATGCAATTGGAGATGTAAAAAGGCTACTATTTGACGTTTCGAACTATAAGATAATTTTTTATGCGATAAAGAAGCCCTAAAGCTGGCTGTTTACCTGATGTTAAGTGTTAACCGCCGCCCATTGTCATTCGCAACACCCGTAGGATTGCAGATGCGATGCCACCTTTTAATAAAGTGGGCCCCGGATACCGCACTCGCCAGACGCCTAACACGCCTCCTTCACCGGTCTTCTGTGAGTTCGTGGTACTGACCCATTTGATGATGACCATGACCTGCCCATTCGGGCAACTGAGAAATTTAGCCAATAGTGAGTCATTGTTGTAGCCAGTGGAAGATAAATTTGAACCGTATCGAAATAAATCTAAACGATACAAAATGTAGTAATATAAACAACAACACCCATTTTATCCGACTTCAAAAAAAGGAGGAGGTTTCTCAATTCGACCGTATATTTTTATTTTTCTTTGTGTGTTCGTGGATAACTTGGTCGCTTATGAACCGATTTTGATGATTCTTTTTTTGTCGGAAAGGAGATATCCCAAGGGTGGTACCATGATAAGGAAACCCGGATCTGATGATGGCATCGCAGAGAAATCGAGTGCCATCATTGAATGTTATAGGTATTAACAATGTTTTTAATTTTCTGATTGAGGTCGGTTTTTTTTGTTAAAAATTATTCATTGTTATCTACAAAGTGTGCTGTGGAAACCATGTGCATAAATTGTATTTTTACAAACTTTGAGAAGCGGTACAGTAACTACGTAGGCTCCAGCCAGGGGTTGCAAAAAAAAAACAAAAGTAGCTGAAGCCATTGTTTCAGCAAATGCCCAACCGAGAGATCTAAACATGACTCTGACAACGCTATTCTTTGGTGGGGTCTTTATACTTCTTTTTTTGATGGAGAAAAGGTGCGATCAGGAGGCTCACCTGATGGTAAGTGATCACCGCCACCCATGAACACACACACACCGTCCGTGATGCTGGTGTTCATGTTCATGTTGATCATATCATTTTCATCACGTTTCACACTTCCCGGTCCCTCGCTTGGGTCTGCTTCTCTAATCAAAAGCTTGGATGATAGTGTGAACAGACAGACGACAAGGCCATATTCGTCACCTCATACGTGTGGCTATGTTTACGAACCAGATAAGCGAATGTTAAAATCTCGGAATTGCTCTGTGTGCGCCTGAAACTTGAAAAGATTTCAAGTAGTTAGAGTTTACCTTCATATTATTAAAGCTTTTGGATCAAGTTGTTACTGAACAAACTTTTAGCGGCGAAAGCTTATCAAATAATTACTTAAATCATTGTTATCTTTGTAAATGTTTAACTAGGGTGTATAAATCGCTTTAAACTGGACAGGATAATAAATTATTTTGCGTCATTGCGTCTAGACCGGTGAACGCACTCTGTTGGAACAGAGATAATTTTTCAGCGCAAAAATAAAACCTTATAAATATAAATTAGCCTTTCTAACAATCCTTTAATATGGACTGTCAGTGCAAACGATTGAACGATGTAAATTTATCTTATTATAAAAGGAAAAAAATATATTTAGTAAGTGTAAATATCATTGTAGAGTTTTAATTTTTTAACTAATGATACAATATAACCACCGCTTGGACATTTGCAGCCCCGGATCTCTATGATATTTTCTTTGACAAAACAGATGGATTCCTTTTTCTATAAAAAGTAATAAGCTCGTTGATATGATTAAAATGTTTGTCAGACTAGTAAGAATGTAAGGAAAAATAAATTACGTACTATTAGCCGAACGCGTTCAATATGGACTGAGTGACGTCATTCTTACTTCTTATCTAATCATGTCCATACCTAGCTAGCACACCACAGTCGGAAGTGAATTTTGCTTTATAAGTGAAGTGGCAAATAAATACTAATTTCCTGGAATTTACCAAATCGTCACTGAATTTACCAAAATCATAACACGAAAATAGTTGTAAATTCACATTACCGACCTTTGTAAGAAGAGACTATATTTTTTTTTTAATTTCTCCGAGTTATAATATAACGGTTTATTCACTTCTTCTTTCTTCTGTCCTTATTCCATTAAGTGGAGTTGGCACGACATATGAATCATGTTATTAATTATAAGTTAAGTTTTTTATGACCGGAATTTTGCATGACGTCTTCCCTCCCTGGCAAACACACAAATCCGGAACATATGGCTGTAGGTCAAAACTTACCCCATCTGGACGAATCCACGGCACTCGGCACCCAAACCAATAGCTAAGTAACTGCCACCGAGTCATCATGACAATTTATTATGTACTATTATGTGAAATACTCTTCTAACTCTTCACAAACTCTGGCGTGGACTACCACTACTAGGGAAAACCGTGGCTTTGTCCGCGATCGAACCTCAAGGTCAAAAATAAATTCTAATCGGCTTCGCAAATATTCGCAAAGCAGACAGACCTGTTGCTAAAAAAACCGGTTCACGATTAGGCGATTTTCCTATAGACGTGTCGTGTTATAAATGATTCGGATACCGTATAGTTTGATTTACAAGTTTTTTCGTTTATAAATGTAGCGCCGCTTTTATGTGTATAGAATGTTAGTTTATTAAAAAAGCGTCTGGTTGTTTGTTTATTTTTGTAATGTGGTGTGAAATTGATCGTTGAAAAGATTATTTGTGACCTCAATTTTAGAGGAACAACATCTGAACCCCGGATTACATTCCATTAGAAAAGTATAATTTGTTCTAAGATACGTACGGTGTGGTTTGCTCCTTAAGATATAAACGCAGACAAAGCTGCGGGTGGAATATGTTCAAGAATTTAAATATATAAAGCTAGAACGTGCGAATACATCGACATTAGTGAAATCGTGATGTACTAAAAATAATCGAGTTGCCAATCTAAATTGCTTTAAGTCGTGTGTTTGATACGTTGTTTGAATGTTTTCGTATAAATTGTTAATAGGTCAATAAGACAAATATGATTTTGGTAAAATCGAGGACGATTTTCGTACCGTTCCTCGCGGTTTTAACTGTGTGTTTGTTTCAAACATGTGCATGTGTTGACGATGATTTTCTGAGTGGTACTGACATGGTGTTCACGTTTCTGGTAAGCCTCTTGAAGTAACAGCTTATACACTACTCATTACTGGTAGAGTGATACAGTAGCTTCTGCTGTTGTAAGAACGGGCAGGCTCATCTGGGCTAGTAACAAAGCCTCACAGTAGACCGGCGTGAAGCGAATGTATTATACTTTCGCCTTTCATCTGATGAGTGTAGTAATCAAAGTCGCCTTTCATCTGATGAGTATAGTAATCAAAATCGCCTTTCATCTGATGAGTGTGGTAATCAAAGCTCAACTTTTTGACAGTTGATGATGCATCTGTCACTCCAAAAGAGTTGTGGATTTTTTTTTTATGTGAAAAGTTGTCAAGTGAGCAGACGGTTCACCTGATGTTAAGTGAATACCGCCGCCCATGGACATCTGCTACACCCTAGGGTTCCAGATACGGTGACAACCTTCTGAAATTTGGGATGTCCATAAATATACATACATGTACATGTCCCACCGCTGAAGCTGGAAAATGTTCTCTGTATATGATGATTTTCATTTCATTATATTATTGTTTAATTATTACAAACATTAAATGTTTCGTTTCGTTTTCACCGTTATATGTATGTAATTGAAATTTCAATAAAATCTATTTTTAGACATGAATTAAGAGAGATTCTGCAGTAAAAGACATAATAAAACGCCTAACAGCATTTCGGGTGATCCAGTTTCGCGATTTGAAACATTATAGTTATTAATAATCTCTTTTAGGCTTTTTTGTTGTAACGCCATATGTCCATTAATCTCCTTGGTTTGAATTAATGATTTTTATATTATTTACTTAACACTTGTATGTACCAAATATTTTTATATTATTTATCTAAAATACCTGTCATTGATAATTATTCACTTCCTAAATGTAGGTATACCAGTTACTGCACGCAGTACTGTGCGAAAAATTGTCACAAGTCATGGATTAATAATACCAGTGGTCGCCCATTGGTCAAATTTCGACCATAATTAATAATTATGGTAGTGTGTGTAATGTTTTTTATTGATTTAATGTATTTTTTATGCATAATATTAAAAAAAATTAGCATTCTGCACTCGTTTTCTATGTAAACTATATGTGTGGGAAATTTAATACAAACGTTCGCGCAATTTTCGTAAAAAGAGGTACTAAGTTCTTGATTCACTTATTAATTTATAGATTAATAGAATTAAAATGAAGTGATCACCTCGAAAAACAGGTGTTGGTCCGGGTCAACTATAGCATTATTACGTCTAACTGGACATAGCTCAAAATATTAGTAAGCTCAAGTAGCGATGGGCTTGCCATATAGCTCGTAAAACCGATAACCGATGGGAAAGAAAAGTTCTCAAGTAGTGGCCTCATTCTGGCCCTCGTAGTATAGGACAATCCTCTCCTAGATGGAGGGACACAGCCCTGTAGTCCCGGGCCCAGCCCTTGTAGTCCCGGGCTCATAGAATAGGGCTAAGGTATCCCCTGCCTGTCGTAAAAGACGACTAAAAGGGGACACGGATGGACAGCAGCACGATGTGGTCTCGTGCTGCTGCAAGAGGGTGAGGGGATTGGAGAAGGTTTATCCTTCTCCGAGGCGTGCTCAGGCGTAGTACCGAGGGACACCGGTGCGTTCCATGGGAGATCCTGGAGTCCCTCCAAATGTACAGAAGGCGGCTACCGAGGGGGTTTTAGTGGGTAAGAACCCCACATAACCCTGTCATGTAAAGTGACAGGGTATCTTTTGAAGATTTCCCCCCCGATACCAAAAAAAAAAAAGATGGAGGGACAACTTTTGCTAATGTGCGGGAAGTCGATGAATGCAAGTGGCTCAGGATCTTGCTCCGTGGCAGTCTGTGAGGGAGGCGTATGTTCAGGAGTGGACTCTTACATGAAACGATGACGATGATGATGAACTGGACTACTCTGCGATCCTCGATACTGCGGTCCCATTCGATATGTGTAATTTCGATCATACGACAATATAAAAACTCGACAAAATAATAACGTGGAATAATTGTACGGTCCAAAAAACTTATCAGTTTCGGACCACGAAATTAATGACGAGTGACTCATAACCATTCGTTTTTGATTTATGTTGCCCGGAAAACGGTCAGCGGTGACCGGACGCGTTGTGGGAAGCTGATAATGAACGGAAATTAAGGGGTTGGGGGCCACGCGACTTGATTTCGGGCTTTCATGATCAATTGTATTGTTTTAACTTAAATTAATTGAAGATAAATATGCAACATATATATGAAATGTCGTATTTTAATTTTATTGGCGGTGGTACGGCCACGCAACAGTGTTCGCTGTTGCACGAATGGGCAAGTCCGTCCGGTTTGGTACCTCACAGAAGATCGGCGTAAACTAGAAGTATTGCTCTTCTGCATTTCGTCTGGTGAGTGAGGTAGCGGGGGCCCACGTTATTAAGAGGCAACGCATCTGCAACCCTACGGGTGTTGCAAATGTCCATGGGCAGGTGATTATCACTTAACATCAGGTGGACCGCCAGGCGGTTTACCACTTTCTCACATAAAAAAACACTATACATGACGTATTTTTACAGCATGCATAAAGCCTGTATATGGCCGACTGCTGAGTGAAGATATTAGAGTAGTCCACCACGCGACCCCACTGCAGATTGGCACACCTCACATATCTTCGAAATATTTTTTTTATCATTATTGCCTCACGATATTTTACTCTCTCGGTGGTAGGGCCAGCAGTCTCGGCTGTCGCACGAATGGGCAGGCTCGTCCGGGTAAGTACCACGACCTCACAGAAGACCGGCGTAAAGTGGAAGTATATTACTTTCACGTTTCGTCTGATGAGTGAGGTGGCCAGAACCCAATTTTCAAAAGGTTGTCAACGCATCTGGAACCCTCGGGTGTTACAGATGTCCATGGGCGCCGGTATTCACTTAACATCAGGTGACCCATCTGCTCGTTTGGCAACTTTTCGCATTAAAAAAAAAAACTGTACCTAGGAGCAAGCGATAAGTATGCACTTAAATTTGCAATTAACAATTTCATCGGTACCGACACGGGGATTTCAACTCCAGTTACTCGACTACATTGAATAAGCTAATCTAAGTTACGTCTACGTTAAGGTTTACGTCTTAGGCTTAACGCCACGGCTGACAAGAGAGCTGGTTCTTTTCTCGCTCAAAGGTTAAGCATAGCTATTCAGCGAGGAAATGCAGCTAGAGTTCTTGGCACCATGCGGCGTGGATTAGGTTTATTACATATGAGCCGTGATAGCTCAGTGTCCGGGCGCTCGCCTTTAATTCAATATACTCGAGCAACCTGAGTTCGATCCCCGGTGCCGGCACCAATGAAGTTTTTAACTTTAAGTGCTGACTTATCACGTGCTCCGCGGTGAAGGAAAACATCGTGAGGAAACCTGCATATTTTCGAAATAATAACAAAAAAAAATATATATATATATTTCGAAAATATGTGAAGTCCGCCATTCCGCAGTGGGGCCGCGTGGTGGACTATGCCCTGATACCCTCTGTATAGAGGAGGCCTTTGCCCAGCAGTGGGACATGTATTGGCTGTTACTTTACTTTACTTTACATAATATGTTATTTTAGATAGATGATTTTGAGGTAATTGTTGGATAAATAAATTGTATATCCTTTTAGATATATTTCTATTCTAATCATCGGGTTTGTGTATGGGAGTATATGTATGTGAATCTCTCTATGTGTGTGTGCGTGTATAGAGGTAAGTTCTACCGTTCTTCAGACCTTTTGTATTGATTGCCTTCTCTCAGATTTCACGCGTTCTTTGTTCTTTAATTTTACATAAGCCTTTGTTCACAAAATCGCGATCGTCGACGTACCATGACGAGTTGAACGAGTTTTATGTGCGCCTGATTAAATGTGTCATTGAATTCGACGCGGTAACAACGTAGTATGAATACCGTAACATCATAACAACTTAATTTCTTTAATAAAGCAGCGATGACCTAGAAAATGTGATCTTAACTAAGGGTTAGAATCTCAATGGTGGAAATTCATTATTCCATTGTTATGAAATGTACATTTTAAGATCAATAAGTAAAAACGTATTCGTATATACATTACAGCCTGTATATTATTTAATGCATAAACTTTATTTGCCACATTATGGGACAATAGCCTACTCTAAATAATGGGTTTTTTCTTTGATTAATATTGTCTTTTACACAGATAATGCTTCCGGCAGAAATAGATTAATATCATACGACTTTAAAATGTTAAAGTATATATAGCATTTGCCTTACTAGTTAACTATCTGGTTTCGCAGGTAGATAGCGGAATAGCATATACATTTATTAGCTTTACTATCTTTATCGATCTATCTTTACTATTTTTATCGATCTAAGAAGGTAGTGAAAAAATACTTTTATCAAATTACCGTAGTTTTACTTTGTAAAACAATAGCACTCTATAATTACTTATTTCCAATTTTAGACTAAAGAATCACCACTCCAACGATTTAATTTGCGATACCGATTAGGCAGCACTGTCGCGTATACCTACTTCTTGTTGACAGTCAAATAAGACCATGAAATGCTTCGTGCACCTTCATTCATACCACGTAGAATGACACTTCCTTTAGTGTTGCAAACACATTATAACTTTAGTTAGACCCAATATCTGCAAAACTGCACTGCCCAATATCTACAAACTGTTACTGCAAAATGGCAACGTTGCAGGTGAATCGACACGGAGACAGGACCCCAGTGAAGCAGAATGTTTACCTGAGCGACAAGCCAGAAGCGCTGGAAAAAATAACGCAGCCTTTGGGATACGGACAGCTGACTGATGTGAGTTTTTATATCTATCGTATTTGCAAGGGCGTGATTCATTAACGACAGGAGTTACGTTGTCAGTATAAAACAATGATAACTAGCTATAATGATAACTAATGATAAATAATGATACGCCCCGGCTTCGTTATATGATATATATATATAATTAGTATATATTATATTAGTAGTACAAAGATAACGGATATAGCTCAGGATTAGTTAGCTGAAGTGGCGATGGGCCGGCCATATAGCTATCGCCGATGGGAAAGAAAGGTTCTTGCGTGGCAGCCTCGTACTGGTCATCGCAGTGTAAATCAAAATCAAATGTCTCTATTCAACATATGAGTATTACACTCGCTTATTGATAGTCAAAATACTACCACCGGTTCGGAAAAGTAAGCCACTGCGCTCGACCCCCCACTAGATGGAGTGATGACCTGTGTAAAGGTGCCGGAATTTGATGGATTCAGGTGGTCCAGGATCGTACTCCATGGCAGACTGTGGGGGAGCCCTATGTTCAGTAGTGTACTCAAACAGGCTGAAAATGATGATGATGCAACCATCATTCTTTGTATTCAATATTCATAACGTTTATTGTTTACTTATTTTGTTTTTATACGTTAAAAACTGGTTGTCGGTATGATGTAATTGTGATGTAGTCTTTCGAGGTAAAAAGCTATTCACACTTGCCTTGCAAACATTATTCCACTCTGTGTATGCATGTAGATGAGCCGAAGCCTTCTTATTCTACGAACAAGGGGAATTATACCGAATGATAGCGCCCTGCTTAACAACTAGTCATACAATGATCGACGGGGAGGGAGGAATTCAATTGTTAAGTCTTTGACATCTCTTCAGTGCAGAGGTTAGGTTTCAAAAAATTTTTTTTATTGTGCTAATCTCGGCACTTAATAAAGCCTTGTTATATAAATGTTATATAATAATAAAGCCTTGTTTATTCCTTAATAGAAAAATTACATAATGTGATATTTAATATAATTCGAAAATTTAAAATAAAATAGAATAGATTAAATAGATTAAATTAAATTAAATTAAAAATTAAATTTAAATAAGCAATAATAAAAACCGCGGCGACAATCTTTTCGTACTTTTTCTACAAACTTTAATGTTTCAAAAGTAATGAAAATAAAATTAGTTCATACTGAAACTTTCAGGATTTTGATTAACGAGGGCAGATAACTGTAGTAGGGCCACGCAAATAGTCTTCGCTGTGGCACGAATGGGTAGGTCCATCCGGAGAAGTAGTACGACCTCCCAGAAGTGACGAGGAAGTGTTATACTTCTACTTTGCGTATAGTGAGTGAGGCAAACGGCAAACCTTATTAAAAGGTGGCAACGTATCTGCAAATTTCCATGACAAAAAAGAAACGCCACCTCCTGACATTAAAAAACAGATATTTTATTCGCTTAAATAAAAGAAATCCGTTGTTAACTGACCAATCTGACATTTTTCGGTTTTCAAGCAACCCTATTATATAAGGTTTTTTTGCCTAAGAATGAAGCAAACATTTGTTGTCAACTTTTACTAACTTTCGTTGGCAACTCTGCAAAAGTAAGAAAACATAGCCAATGACTGTCCACTGTTAAACTTTTTTACAACTTTATGACACCAGTTCACAAAGAGTTCCATTTTCTAATTCCATAATTGCTTGTTTACTATTTATCGTAAGTTGCTCTAATTATTTTCAGTATGCCCTACGAACTCTAAATTCGTGTCCAAAATTCATCAAAATTCTATTCCCTTATTATATTATTCCAATGTAAGTGCTATTTATTTTTTGACAAAGTAAAGTTTATATTTTTTTACTATACATCCCGTATGCTGATTTTTAATGTGTTGACAAGCTAGCAGGCAATCCACCCATTGGCGTATCTAGGGTTATTTTTTAGGGTGGGCCTGGGCCTTTACTACAAAAAAATCGAAGACTATGCATCGCGTTATAACAGTAACAGTAACAGTTCGTTATCGTTAATAATTTTTATGAGTACGGCTATAGATAATTATTTGATTTCAATCATTTTTTTATGAAGTTTCTTAGGGATCCTAGAATTTCGAATCCGTAACCAAAATCCTGGGGTGGTCACTATACGATACTGTGGTAGGCACGGCCCACCCGGCTCCCCCTTCTAAATACGCCAATGAATCCACCTGATGATGAGTGATTATTACCGCCCATGCACAGATGTGCAGATAAAAAACCAGAGGGGTTGCGGATGCTTTGCCAATCTTCCAGAAAGCGGGCCCAGGCTACCTCATCGGACGAGAGGCGAATGTAAAGCACTTACTTCACGGCAGACAGACGCCGTGGTAATTCCCTGGACGAGGTGGGATCGGTTGTTGCACATGTTCTCCACCACTTCGCTCATTTCCGACATCCTCATAAATTACTAATTAATTAATGAATTCGTTAGTTGTTAGTGTAGCATTTTCAATTATATACAATTAATACTGTAACATAATATAAAAAACATACGACAAAAGCAGGCCAAGTGCGAGTCGGACTCGCGAGCGAATGGTTCCGTACCGTTATTGATAAAAACAAAGGCAAAAAAATCATTGTCTGTTGTATGGGAGCCCCACTTATATATATTTTTTATTCTGTTCTTTAGTATTTGTTGTTATAGCGGCAACAGAAATATATCATCTGTAAAAATTTCAACTGTCTAACTATTACGGTTTATGAGATACAGTCTGGTGACGGGCAAATATATAGACAGACAGCGGAGTCTTAGTAATAGGATCCCGTTTTAACCTTTGGGTACGGAACCCTAAAAATCATTAAGCTATTACTCGAATAAAATTATGTCGATATCCTGAGCGGTCTATGTCTAACTCGGGTTGAACAAGAGGAGGGCTTATTTTTAAATAATGTAAAGTAAATTTTTCAGTATTCTACTGCACCATATAGCTTGATGGCGTTGAACAATTGTTACAAAGGGATTCTGAGTTTTCGCTCGCATTAGCATATCAAACGTGGAAGTTAAAATATTTGTACCTTTTAATACATACAAACTGTTTCATATAAGATAGTAACATTACTGCTACGCATGGAAATAAGTTTGTTAAAAACATAGTCCAAATTTATGTTTCGTGTATTAATAAGCTGGTCAAGTGCGAGTCAGATTAGCACACGAAGCGTGCCGTACCGTTATCTAGAAAAACGGCAAAGAAATCATTGTCTGTTGTATGGGAGCTCCACTTAAATATATTTTTTATTCTGTACTTTAGTATTTGGTGTTGTAGCGGCAACGGAAATAACAACAACTGTCTTACTGTCACGGTTCATGAGATACAGCCTGGTGACAGACGTCGTAATAGGGTCCCATTTTACCTTTGGGGTACGGAACCCTTAAATATGTTTAGAAGATGTATGCCACCAGAATGCTCTTCCCTGTTCCCTATAAATTTCTCCCTCTCCCGTAACAATCGCTCCACTTTATCGTCATTTACCGCTTCGTTCCTAACGCTTTTAGCAAATAGGGACAATTTGCCAAAAATCGATCATCCCGAATATAATGGAAGGCTTCCAGACAAGAGCGAAGAGGTCTTAGCAATGAGTAATCCATTGTAATATCACCGTTATTCCATTAAATCACTTATGGATATAATTATAATGTCTATCCCTTACGGAATACACAATTTAACTGTGGTAGGGCCACGCAATAGTCTTGTTATGCTGTTGCATGAATGGGTATTACCCTCCGGGTAAGTACCACGACCTCACAGAAGAACTTACACTTACACTAAATAGAAGTTACAAGTTAAGTGTTGAGTGAAGTAGCCGGGGAGCACTTTATTAAAAGGTGGCAACGCGTCTGCCACCCTACGGGTGTTGCAAATGTCCATTGGCGACGGTTATCACTTAACAACAGGTGAACTGCCCGCTCGCTTGTCACATTCTCACATAAAAAAAACACACCGTAACTTCTACGTACTTTTGGGTCTTCTTAAAGTTGACACTAATTTTTTAACTAAGACATATCACCCTCCCTAATGGGAGTTTTTTCAAGATGAATCGCGATATCCCAAAGTTGGACACTTCCTACTCGCTATAAATGACCGACTCGTAGACGCTATAAGTTATGCAATTTGCGACTGCCTGTTTGCCTCATGCCGGGAGCCAGAATGCCGTTCCATATTCAGTGGGACGTGACAGTTTTGTGGAACACACTTTTTGAACGGAGTTGAATTTTAATGCGCCATAGCGAAAGAATGGATCAGATTTGAAATGATAGCGATCGTGGCATAATTTTGGTCCTTTCAATTTGATATAGTATTTAAGGGTTTTTTTTGCTGTATTTTCGTAACTACAGACGTTTTGTTTTTAGCAGAGATAGTGGACATACATTAACATATTTTATCACTAGCAAAATATATTATTCGTTAAAGGCCTCGTCTTCATTAATCTTTAAATCACTTTGACAACTTCCTTTGGTCTTATTGAATTGACAATAAAAATTCAAATTAGTCAAGCTTGGCCCAATGTAGAGCATTAATTGAACTTTTAATTTTACACGTGATATTTTACTCGTTTTCTTAGAGTAACATTATGATTAAACGTCAAGGTCAATCTAGCAAATGAGATCATTAATTCTTCCATTCGATTATATTACATTATTATTTAATTCTTCCATCATACTTTTAAAAGAAATATCAGAGATTAAAGACCTCACATTGTTTTTTAAATATTTTTAGGTAAGACGGAGTGTTCTTCTTGTTACCAGCCTGCAATTAATAACTTCTCATGGAAATTGTTATCATTGTACCAATAAATGCATTTTTCTTAAGCTCTTGAATTTTGTTTCATAAGCCGCGTAAACGGTACGCATCTCTTTACTTAGAAAATGTGCAATCATTTTGTCATGTACTCTTTTCTAACTGCTTGGAAAGCGTAGAGATTGTTAAATCACGTTGAATTGTACTTTTTTTTTTTTTTTTTTTTTTTTCGGAGGGTAGGTGTGACATAAGTAACACATGTTAGAAGCAGTCTCTATATTTTTAATTTAAAATAATAGTAATATTTGAGTTTAAAACATTTTTATTTACATATATAATGAACATTTGAGTGATAGTACCAACCGGCAAGATAGAATCCTCTAACATTCACTTGTTAACATAAACATTCACTAGTGATTATCTGACAGCATGGATTCACTAAAACAGTAATTTTCTGCAATGTCTGAGATGTTCTATGCAAAAATGGACGAATTTCAGCGTGATTTGGAAAAGAACTCTGCTAGCAAGACATCTGCAACAACTTCATCGATAGCATCTGATTTTGTGTCCTTCAAAACTTTTATTGTAACCGCATTAAACACCCTGCAGCAACAAATGGAGTTTCTTAGACTGGAAATGGATCGTCAGGAGATGCGAAGGAGGCGTAAGATCTTGCTCTTCCATGGAATTCCCGAGGTGAAATCAGAAGACCTTATCGGTCGTGTAACCACAGCTGTTGCTGAACATCTGAATCTGCCTAATTTTTCAAGTACCAGCATCAAGTCCAGCTATCGCCTTGGCCGCACATCGGAATGCAGAGCTAGGCCGGTAGTTGTAAAGTTCGCCGAAGTTTCTGTCCGTGACAAAGTGTGGTTCGCGAAAACTAAGTTTAAGGGTACTGGCATCACACAGTCGGAGTTCCTAACGCAGCCTCGACACAGTGCATTTCTTGAGGCTCGGAAGCGTTTTGGCGTGACAAATTGCTGGACTCGCGATGGATGCATATACGTAATTAGCTCGGATGGAGTTCGCCATCGAGTAGAATCTTTAAACGAGCTTGATGTTATAAATGTTGCATCGTCTTCGTCTAAGCCTCTTGCAGCGAATTCACCAGTACAGATATTAGAGTCTTGTTCTAAGAGCCCAAATACTAAGACTATTGTTATGCGCCCCAAGCGAGTAATTAAGAAATAGTTTATTGCGGTAATGTGAATTTGTCCTTTACTTAAAACATTCTTCTCATTATGATCATTGCACTGTTTAACTTCTTTTTGTTATATTTTATTGTAATGTATTGTTTTAGTTTTAAGGTTAAGTACTTTTAATTCTATAGCAATGTCAATTGTCAACTTGATATGACATTTTATATTATTATATTCTAACGGATTGGGACTTCTCCATACAGCCTATTATTAAATTGGATTGGGATTTCTTCATTCATCCTATTCATTATCATAGGTTCGTTGTAAAATATTATCTTTCACTATACATATGTATGTTATAGTGAAGTTTATTAGGATTTTTTTCTATATATTTTTTCTATCGTGTTATGATGACCTTGAATTTTATTTTTCTTTGCTGGCAATGTGTATACTTCGATTGAATGTGTAAAAAACTAAAAACTTGTTGGTAGGTATAAAAGCTTACAAATTTGCGTAGTAGTTTATATAGGTAATTTTATTGTTATAGTATATTATTTGTTTATGTTTATATATTCATGTTATTTAAAGATATAAGCTCGGACGACTCCTTTTTCTCATTTTCCTCCACTGATGGATTGAGTAGTAACGGCAGTTTCCATAGTCTCCCTTCTCTTTCTGAAACCCTTGATTTACATTTCTCAGATGTTCTGAAAAATTTTAATGTTGTTCATATTAATGCTCAGAGTATTCCTGCACATTTTCCAGATATGCTTTCGTCTTTTGATAACAAGAACATCCATGCTATCCTAATCTCCGAAACATGGTTAAAACCTTGTTTATCCTCCACATCTTATGCTCTTCCTGGCTTTCACCTCATACGAAATGATCGGAACAGTAGGGTTGGCGGAGGTGTTGGCATTTATCTTCGATCCCACATACCTTTTAACTTGATCAGTGTATCGCAAGAACAGGCTATACCAGAGGCGGAGCATTTATTTATCGAGGTTATGTTATCCAACCTGAAATTACTGCTCGGTGTGTATTATAACCCTAGTCTCACAATAGATTATTTTACAGGACTCGAAAATCTGTTAGACATGTTTATCCCACAATATGAGCACTCGATTATTATGGGTGATTTTAATACTTGCCTGTTAAAAAATGACTCTCATGCATTCCGTCTCAATTCTTTAGTCAAGGCAGCAAATCTACATATTCTTCCTCTATCGGCAACGCACAACTTCCCAAATTGTTCTCCATCTCTCCTTGATCTTATTCTAGTTTCCTCAGTAGACTTTGTATTGAAACATGATCAATGTCCTGCAGATGCCTTTTCTTACCATGATTTGCTATATTTATCCTATAAAATACGCCCACCCAAAGCTAAATCTAGAATTCTTCTCCAACGTAATTTTGGTGGTATGAACCTTGATCTTCTGCGAGAGGATGCATCTCAGATTGACTGGGCTGAAGTCCTTACTGGGGACAATACTGATGAACGGGTTGAAATTTTTAACTCTCTTTTAATGAAGCTTTATGATACCCACGCTCCAATACGCCCAGTAAGAATTAAACATCTTCCTGCTCCTTGGCTAACTGAGGATATAAAAACGCTACAACACAAAAAGAATATAGCCAAAGCTAAATATAAAACCAACGCCAGTGAAACCAACCGCATTAAATACACAAGCATTCGGAATCGATGCAACAGATTGTGTAGAGATGAACAACGACGCCATATCCATAAATCTGTACTCGAGGAAAAAGATTCCGGAAGCGTATGGAAATTTCTGAAATCCCTTGGGGTTGGGAAAGCAAATAGAAATTGTCCTTCAAATTATAGTACCTTCGATTTAAATAAGCTCAATCAGCATTTTTCCTCATTTTGTACTATTGATAGTACCTTAAAACAGAATACTAAAAATAAAATTTTAGCTTTACCCACCCCTGATGATCCCGCTTTCGTATTTAGTCAAATCGACTGCAGTGATGTTAAGAGAAGTATTATGGAAGCTAGCTCTGATGCTGTTGGTTCTGACTGCATTAGTCGCAAAATGATCACTCCTCTTCTCGATTTTCTAGCTCCTGTCATTGTGTCCATCTTTAATCATTCCATCAATAGCGGTTGCTTCCCTACTTCCTGGAAGGATGCACAGATAATTCCTCTTCCTAAAAAAAAGAATCCTTCCAGTTTCTCTGATTATCGGCCTATTTCCATTTTACCATTTCTATCAAAAGTTTTTGAACGCATTGTTCATAAACAATTGACTGTATTTCTTTCCAAATCCAACCTTTTAAATCCGTTTCAATCCGGTTTCCGTTCTGGTCATAGTACGACTACTGCATTAGTAAAAATTACTGATGATATCCGGTTCGGTATGGATAACCAGTGTGTAACAGTATTGACTTTACTAGATTTCAGCAACGCTTTCAATAATGTTGATTATGAGCTACTTTTAGCCATTCTCACTTCTCTAAACATATCTCCTAAGGTCGTTGACTGGTCACAGTTACTTGCACGGGCGCCGGCAACGCATTAAGATCGAGGAGAAGTATTCGGACTGGAGTCCGATAAATGCCGGGGTACCGCAAGGTGGCGTGTTGTCTCCTCTCCTATTCTCAATCTTCATTAGTTCAATCACTCAACATTTAACTTCTCTCTACCATCTGTATGTTGATGATCTCCAAGTCTACGCTCAATCCAAATTACCAGATTTAACCATGACAATAGATGCAGTTAATAAAGACCTAAACACCATTGTAGAATGGAGCAATTCTTATGGACTGAAGGTAAATCCATCTAAAACACAAGCTATTATTATAGGCAGCCAAAGATTGGTTTCACGTATTGACTGGGCTAATCTTCCTTGTATAGTTTTTGACGGGGTCCAATTGCAATATAGCGATACGGTTAATAATCTAGGTGTTGTGTTTTAAATTTCTCTCTTGGGTTCCTCAGGTTAGTGAAGTGAGTAGAAGGATGTTTGCAGCAGTTAATTCTCTTCGTAGATTGAGTTACTTCTTACCTATACCTACCAAAATTGCGCTCGCGGAATCTCTCCTCTTACCAATTCTAGATTATGCCGATACATGTTACTTAGACTTAAGCGTTGAACAACTTAAAAAACTTGAGCGCATCCAAAATCTTTGCATACGGTTCATATTTGGACTTCGTAAATATGACCACATTTCTGAATTCCGAAATAAGCTCAAGTGGCTTCCAATCCGCCTTCGCAGGAATACTCACCTTCTTTCGCTCTTATACTCTGTTCTATTCAATCCAACCACCCCTCCTTATCTTAAGAAGCGATTTGAGTATCTTTGTGATTCTCACCCAGATCGATCTCTCCGCTCCGATGACAATTTAATCCTCAGAATTCCTCCCCATAGTACATCTTTCTACTCCAAATCCTTTTCTGTGGAAGCTGTTCGGCTCTGGAACTCTCTCCCACTACATATTAGGCGGGCACAATCCCTACCTATTTTCAAGCGACTTTTAAGAAAACATTTTATGCCTCCTTAATCATTGTGTTCCATTCCTCGATGTTGTCAACTTATATCTTATATCTTAATACTTATACATTATTTATAACGTATATATTTATATATCGTGTTTGCATGTGTATTTATGTATAATTTATTAATATGTATTTATATTTTGACTTATAAGTTTCTCTTATTAATTCAGTGTACACCGTTACCCAATGCTACTGTTTTACTATTTCCTTTTACTAGGTTGCCTGGAAGAAATCGCTTCCTAGCGATAAGGCCGCCTATTGTACAGTTCTGTATTATTTTAGTTGATTCTTCAATATCCGTTGGTTGTGTACAATAAAGTATATTTCATTCATTCATTCATTCATTCTTCTTACAGCTTGGCAAGCGTAGAGCGTACGAGCTGGGAAATTTCATACGCAGCAGGTATGGCGACTACCTCTCGCCGAATTTCAACCTGTCCGAGATATATATACGGTCCACTGACTCCACGCGCGCTAAAATGACCGTCCTAGTCGCCATGGCGGCGGTTTACCGTCCGGACGGTGACAGCTGGAGCGACGATATTAATTGGGTGCCCGTACCCTACACCACCGTACCACTGCGGTACGACTTTGTAAGTCAAATGAACGACTAATAACGACTAATGACCGATGATAATTGATGACAAACTGTTTCTGTCTTAATTTTAAATGTTGCAAACGCGCAGGCGGTTCACCTGATGTTAAGTCATCACCATGGTCCATAGCCATCCACAACTCCTGATGAGCTGCAGATGCGTTGACAACGACATAAAAGTGGGGTCTTTTTACCTCACTTACCAGGGGAAACGCCATAGAAAAATACTTGTACTTTACGCTGGTGAGCCCGTGGTTCTTCCCCGGATGAGCCTGCCCATTCCTGCAGCAGCTGATGCTGCGTGACCTTACTGTAGAAAAAAGTGACACGTCTTGTAACCATAAAGGCGACAAGTCTTAACTTTTCATTCAGCTTATTAAATCCCAAACGAAATAGGCGATGAACATATCCATCGATAGGTAAAAATTTACAGAAAGCCCAATTGATTAAATCTACTGGGTTTCAATCCTTGTCACCCTAAAATGAGGGAATGAGGGATTCATCACGGCATTATGTTGGGAACATAATGCCGTGATGAATCCTTGTTGCAGTCGTCAAGGTATTGGCTAAATATCGGGGGTCGTGGGTTCGATTCCCGCACGGGACATCTATTAGCGTGACCCACAGAGTGATCTGTTTAGGATCCAGATGTTTGTTTATCTACGTGAAATTTATATTTGTAAAATTTCCTTACAACACAGTAGAACGTTATCCTACAGTAAGGGCAATGTTTTCAAAAAGAAAAAATATTCCCGAGCAAACTTTTATGCCTAACTTTTATGAGAGAGTATTAATCGATGTCAAGCCCATCGTCATTTGACACTGAACACGAGTATGCACTCCTTAAATATTTATAAGTGTCCCGACAGCTCATTGTCATAAAGTTTTTGACATATCTAATGACAACCCGATGACCGCTTGTAGTAGCAGCTAGTATTTGAGATAAATGACCTCAAATACTAGCTGCTACTACAAGTTGTTGGCTACTCGCCTTTTAATTCAGCATACTCGAACAACCTGACTTCAAATCTCGGTACTAATGAAAATATTGACTACACAAGCTAGATAGCGAAGCGTAAATTCATATCGTATGTTTTATCTGACTAAAACCGACAAGAAATTTGCCTTAAAATCCTTATAGATCTAAAGCCCGTTCCCAGCGAACGGGATATCTATATATTGGCTATTATTGCACGTCTTTAAATAGTACTTCTTTTGCAGCTAATGGGCATGAACTGCCCGACTTTCGATGAGCATTTCAACGAGATGTCAACGACCTACAGACCCGAAATGGCAACGTACCATCAAGTGGTAAATCAGCTGTCTTCGATACTCAGGCGCGATCTATCGAAAACACCGGTTAAGATGTACTCAGCATATGACGTGTTTATCAGTCAGGTACGATGTTCTACTTAAATCTTAAAAAATTTTGTGAATTAAACTATTTTACGGATTTTATCTATATGTATATATTTATACTAGTTGATCCGACAGACGTCCTGTAAACATGACTGAAATCCGAAAACAACATATAAATAAAATAAAAAAAAAAAAAAAAAAAAAGTAGACTGAATTATGAATCTAAACTATGTCGAATTGACCTAAAGACACACAAACATTTTCATTAAAATCGGTCCAGCCGTTTAGGAGGAGTTTACTGATAAACACACGTACAGAAGAATTATACATATAAAACATATTTTTTTCTTTTATTTCTGTCCCACTAAAAATTCTTCAGTGTCATGATAAGTTTTATTTTAAAAGAGCGAGTAACATATACAAGAATATTTGCGTTGATTTATTATATAAGGTTAAGTTCTATTGGTAAAATAGAAGTTTCCTTTAGGGATCGAGCAAATTTTGTCTTTATGACGTTTTGTTGTTTCAATAAACGGGGTCTTACGGTGTTGCAGTAGTATTACGTCAAGAATGGGTGTCTGATAGAGCATCACAGTCTTTGTATAACCGGACACATGGACATAAAATTTATTAAAAAAGTAGAAACTTTTAATATAGATTTTTGAGCAATCTCAATTGGCCTTAAATTAGACTTAGCCGTTCCACCCCCACAAGAAATAAAATCGTCGTACTTTGTCACGTTGTCACAAATGTACACATTTCCTTAGCGGCTTCCTTTCAGATACATCTTGGCATACCAGTAAAGCCATCCATTCAGAAGGTCATGCCCGAAATCAAAAGCGCCGCGGACAAGGCATTCGACATCCTATTTGGCAACGACACAATGCTGCCAATGCAAGCAGGTCAGTTTTTAACACTATTGTATTTGACAAAGGCTTTACTAAATGTAGGCTATGTACCTATTTATTTTTGGAAGAGAAAAAGAGAGAAACTTATTTAACATCACAAAGACATCCAGGTATAACAAACGTTAAAATTATAAGTATTAGGCTATTAGTATTATAGAAAGAAAGAAAGAAAATGAATTTACTTACCAAAAAAGAAAATGAAAAAAAGAAGAAATAAAAAAAATTAAAATAATAAACACGAGTAATAATATAAATAAAATAGTAATAATATAATAATATAAATAAAACAAACATATACATTTAGATAGGCAGTTTGATGTTAAATGGGTGTTCACTCGGCCCTTGATGCGGTTGTAACCACAGCGCTGGTTTTCAGTGAACCCTATTAGTCTATGAGTCGGGGATAAAAATATTTTAAAAAAACTGTACACGGATTTACACTCGGAGACATGACATTTTTGGGCCGTTTAGCTTACTCGTAAAGCGTCGCAAAACTAGAAGACGCAGGTTAAAATGTGGGATTTCTTTTTTGCGCCGAAAGTTTTTGTTAATTTATCTACAGAAATTTTTAGTTTCAATTTATAGTTTCATCTTGAATGCAGAGTTCTAAAAATAATAATTAATCCTACAAAATTATCTTATAAGTTTGAGAAATAAAATACCGGTGCCTTGATATCTCACTTGTATCCAAACTTTTGTGTATATCCATAGATAATTGTGGTCTCTTACTAGTTTTGTAAAATATCCATAGTTCTGACTGTAACTCCATCAGGTTTACTCCTCAAGGAGTTCTTCGATGTGGCGTCGGCCGCGATTTCTGGTGAGCCCACGAAGAAGGTGAGAATTTACTCGGCCCACGACACCACTGTCTACGCGTTCGAAGCCATATCCAGGGCCACCCCAAGACAGGGTGCACCGATGTACGCGGCGGCTTTCGCGCTGGAGCTGAGGAGAGTGAAAGAGACGGGGAGATACATTGTAGTGGTGAGTGAACTCTATTCCATCGGCATCTTCAAATTCGTGTATAATATCGTGTATATGACGTTGACGCAGCTGTGATTGCAGACATGGCTCGGTGACGCAGTTCGTACTGGCTTCAACGCCGAGAGTCGTGAGTTCGATTCTCACACAGATAATTGTTCCGGATCTGGTCGTTTGTTCGCAAGGAGCGCTGACGCCGAGCAGACGTAAATGAACTAGCCAAAACCACTTACAACATGATTCACATGTTGTCCCGACCCTACTCAGATATGATTAGGGCAGGAGGACGATGGTGACGACGATAAAAAAATAAGGACTATTCAGTATCATATAGGGTTATCTCATGTCCTTGTCATCCAGCAACAAATTCTTAATTATTTGAGTAACTTAACGTAGTAACCTCTTACTTAGTTTATTTTTATATGTAAGTCGATCGCGTGTATATAAATAAGATCAATGAAAAGTTGTTTATTATTAGTGTCATAAATTAATAGTTTATTAATGACTTAGTGACTTTTTAACGGGATGGGGGGCTGGGGCGGTTAACCAACGTGCAATAAAATAGTAGTCAATTCAGCAGTGTTTTTTTTTTATGTGAATAGTTGCCAAAAGAGCAAACGGTTCAACTGATGTTAAGTGAATACCGCCGCCCATGGAAATCTGGGAAAAATTGGGCTCCGGCCACCTCACTCACCAGACGAAACGCGAAAGTATTATACTTCCACTATACGCCGGTCTTCTATGAGGTCGTGGTACTTACCCGGACGAGCCTGCCCATTCGTGCAACAGCCGAGGATGCTGCGTGGCCCTACCATCAATGTAATAAAAACATTACACTGTTTTTATTGCATCAAAGATCTCTTTCCATTATTTACTTACCAAAAGGCAACGGAGTAAATGCGAATCAATTAGATCAACCGTAACAAAGACTCTACTTAGGGAAGCAGCTCACGTCTACTGAACCAAACTTCCTGCGATGTTCGTTCAAATCTATTATTTATTGTTCGTTCAAATCTCTGGGCACCTCAGTACGTTGTTCCTAACTATAAAGAAAAATAGTGCAGCGAACGGCTTAAAAGAAACGTTTGTAATGGCAAACTTGTTTCATACCTTGTTTAAAATGCGTCAAAACGTTAAAAGGTGAGAATTAACCCATTAATATTAACCCATCCTGAAATATTTATACAGAACGGTACCTTACGAACCTATAAATATATAATTTTTTTATGTAAAATTTGACTATACTTACAAAAGAATACTCAAGCGTCTATTTCAATAAAGATATTTTTATTGGTTTGATTGATTGAAAAGAAAAGAAAAGACGAAAATATAATTTTTTCGATAAGTCGTGATGTTTAGTGTATAATAATTTAGTAACACACGCAATTAGCCAGACATTTCTTAATAAACGAGTCAGCTCTTGAGTTATCTATTACAGAACTACATGGTCATGTAGCATGTAGCAGAGTAGGAAAATGCTAAACCAGAACCGTTTTCTTACCAGCCAGTGTACCTGAAGTCTCCCGGTGAACCGTTGGAATACCTCCACATCGAGGGCTGTGAAGCGCTTTGTGACTTGGAGCAGTTCTACGAGATCACTGCCCCCTTCCTGTTAGACGAGGATGAGAGGAAGCGGCGGTGTAAATACAACGAGAACGCTCCATTCGACGACAAGGGCTATGCATGAAGGGCAGAAGGATATATTTTAGGTGGTAGGGCCACGTAGCAGCCACGGCTGCTGCACGAATGGGCAGGCTCGTCCGGGTAAGTACCACGACCTCACAGAAGACCGGCGTATAGTGGAAGTATAATACTTTCGCGTTTCGTCTGGTGAGTGAGGTGGCCGGTGCCCAACATCCAAAAAGATTGTCAACGCATCTGCAAACCCTCGGGCGTAGCAGATGTCCATGGGCGGCGGTATTCACTTAACATCGGGTGAACCGTCTGCTCGTTTGGCAACTTTTCATGTAAAAAAGAAAAAATATATTACCCTCACCAAAGCCAACAAGGGTGTGGGCTGACTTGCCCACACGATCCCGAGATCGCGCTTTGTGTGGCGGAGGCCTATGTTCAGCAGTGGACTCACAGGATGAAACGACGATAATCATCATCTTGATGACTCCGTGGCGCAGTTGCCAAGGTATGGGCTTCGGCGTCGGGGGTCGTGGATTCCCACACGGGACAACTATTTGTGCGACCCACAGATAGTTGTTTCGCATGTGGGTGTTTGTCGTCGTGCAATTTATGTTTGTAAAACGTCCTTACAACACAGGATAATGTTATCGTAAAGTGAGGGCAATGTTTTTTCTTTTCAAAAAATAATCCCAGCCCAGTTTCCAAAAAGGTTGTCATCGCATCTGCAAACCCTCGGGTGTAGCAGATGTCTATGGGCGGCGGTCTTCACTTAACATCAGGTGAACCGTCTGCTCGTTTGGCAACTTTTCACATTAAAAAAAATCCTGTTCGAGTCCACTGATGAATATAAAGAATAAATTTAGTGTAAAAAAAAACTGTAAAAAAGTTTTAACTTGACGAAAATGTAAAACCATCATATTGGTTATAGTGACGTATTTTTCTGAAGGAAAATAAAAAGCAAAAAATTTTGAATACATTGTTCAAATTCTTTGTAATTTAATATTGTAGCAACGCTTATTTATTACTTATCCTTACTAATATCATAAACGTGAAAGTTCGTATGTATGGATGGATGTTTGTTACTCTTTTACGCAAATATTACTGAATGGATTTTAATGAAACTATAATAATATAGCTCTAGCATAATATACATCAGAATAATACATAGGCTATAATTTATTTACATACTTTATGTATATCTGTCTTTCTGTCTGAATGTGTCCCTCAGCCTATTCTACGCAGACGTACTCGGGGGCAGCAGCCAGTAACAAAAAAATACGAAATTACAAATGGTTGCGTAGTGATTGCGATCAGTTGCATAACGGCAACTAACGCTTTTCGAATTCTCTACGTATATTTCTGTCAAGAGAAATATAGTTTACTTTAATATGTAATGAAACATTATTTTCCTAAAAAATCAATTCATATTAAACATTACTAGCGGACTCAATTTGATAGGCATAAATAACTAATTAAACATTATTTTCCTAAAAAATTAATTAACATTAATCATTACTAGCGGACTCTGATAGCGAATTTGATAGGCAACCAGGCCAAAACATGTTGCCTCTTTTATTACTGTAATTAAAAAAAAATATTTTGATTAAATACGTCTAAAATCTTGTACGTACTGTAATAAAGCACCCCTGAAGAAGTATCGGTGTGAATTATGCCTAAGTCTACGTTCTGGCTGACATTCGACACCGAGAGTTATTTGTTTAATTCGTCGTTTTTCAACCGAGTACAAAAAATGGATTCCGAAGACACTTACTACAGGCAACTCGTCAACATCATGTAAAAAGTTTACTATGAGCAAGATATTTAAAGTCGGCTTTGTTAATAAAAATGTTTTATTGCTAATTGTTACAATTTTTACTTCCTGTGTTTAAGGTGTTTACATGTGTATATTACAAATTTTATGATCTTTAAATTGGTTGAAAATAAAAAGATTGTAACTAACTTTAGGTTCCTTTGTTATAAACAAATGATTTTTTCTATAATAATCTAATATAATCGTGAACCGCGCCTAAACGGGCTTCCTATCAAATACAGATCTGGTCCTAAGGAAGACGCAGAGCAGAATCAACATTTGATATATTAATTTTTTTTTTATATATATAGTGCTAATCTCTGCACTTAAGATTGAACACTAATTTCTACATGTTTTAACATTTGATATGTTGATTTTGCTCTGAGTTGGGATTACATTTGTTCGCTGATTTAAAATTCATCGTACCTACTGGATTTGTATCTTAGCTTCCTATCGTATAGCATGCTATTTGCTAAATTATAATTTTCATAAGCTTTCTTGTGATTATTTTCTTATGCGTTACAATATCACAGTGCTATTACAATTTTATAAGACTGAAAGTGATTGTTACCCTGTCCATGTGTCTCATAGGAATGGAGCATTTCGTTGCGCAATAAAAAGTTTTTTTTTTTTTGTCACTTCTACAATACAGGGCTATGCTACGTCTATTTCTTTTATTCTTCTATTTCTGTGATTGCATATAGTGGTAGTAGACCATTTACACGAATAAAGAACTAGCTAACCGAGTAACTAACTGTCTCTATCCCATTTTGTTTAAAATAGATATCGCATTTTAAGCCCTCTGGAGGCAGTCAGAGAAAGACCCAAACATCAAGCCAATTTAGTTTGTAACCAAAAATCCAAAAATTTAAATTCTAACAAACGCTTTTAAAATTTTTTTGACTATTTCTGTGACCGAAATAAGTCTGAATCCATTTTTAGTTTTCCGTACCTAAATGGTAAAACGTTACTTACTGTATTAGTAAGACTCCGCTGTCTGTGTCTATTGGTCCGTCTGTCACCAGGCTGTATCTCCTAAACCGTGATAGTTAGACATTTGAAATTTTCACAGATGATGCCTGTTGTTAGCGGCAAGAAAAATATTCTTGCCGCTAACAACAGGTACTCAAAATAGAATAAAAGTATTTAAATAGAGGAAAACAAATAAAACAAAAAGAATTATTTTTTGGCCGTTTTTATACATAATGTTACGGAAACTTTCGCATCGCACTTGTTATTTTTCCTCCTTCACGGCCACCGAGAAATGTAATCTCGGGTTTTTTGCTCGTGTTTTACGCGATCGCTGCTATTTTATTACGTCGTATTGTTTCTTTGTGGCATGCGTGGAAAAAGTCGACCATGCAAACGTGTAATACAATCAGATTACAACGTCGCATACAACATTTCAAAAACCATCTCATACACACAGAAAATGTAATCACGAAAAGTCTTCACGAAATTCTAAGTCTAATTAATCACGAAACAGTCATCATACATAGGGTATGATGACTGTTTCGTGATCAGGTTAATGTAAAAACAAAAACAGTTTTAAAACACTTTATATAAAACTGAACAGTTACTTAACTGAGACAGATGTCTGCAGTCGTCACTACTCTATTTCCTGACAACCTGGCAACGTCCGACGCTAGCTAACGCCCGGAATACTTTCCAATGAATAATTCAACTGCTCTGTCACGGCGAGAAGTTGGAGAGCTCCATTCGGTGCCTATTTTACGGAAACTCAACAAAACCAAAACCATGTATCACCGAAAATAACTAATTCACAAATGTCACCAGTCCGCGTGCTTAATTTATTAGTGAAAGGCTAAAAATAACTTGAACTTAACTCGTAAAAGTCTAGCTAATGTCATGGAAATTTCTGACTTGAAAAAATTTCATAGGTGGAGTTAATGTTCAAACGAATCCTTTTCCAGACAACTATTTTTGTGTTAATGGTGTTAATAGAAGATTGCTTAACATCTTGCTTTATAGTAGAGAAAACTCTATGCCATATTTAAAAAAAATCAATCAATATTTGCAAAGAGCCGTTTAGCTTAGTGGTTAAAGCGTCAGGCCGCGAATGCCGAGGACGTGGGTTCGATTCCCACAGCGGCGACAATATTTTCGTACTTTTTCTACATATTTTAATGTTCAATCTTAAGTGCAGAGATTAGCACTATAAAAATATTAATTTCTATTTATAAATTTTTTTATTCAAAATCAAACAGACCCCCAATGGAAATAAACTTCAAGACTCTCCTAGACTACGAATGCGTTTGAGTTTCGGACTGTTAAAAAAACCTGATCACGTACAATGCACACACAACACTGATTTCCACGGGCAAGCCTTAGGGACTCGAATCCAGTTCGGTTGAAAGATAAAGAGAGTACAATGCATCATTAACCTGATTTCTAAAGCGGTAATGTAGAAAGAGGAAAATATAATGAAATTGGCAGAAATAATCAGGATTAGCATTAGTAGGGCACTAAAGCCAACGAACTGCTTTAGTGCCCCAGACAATATTTTCGGTAAAGATAAAATATCGGCCCGCAAATGTATACGTTACTCTTCTTACTGTGGTAGGGCCACGCAAAATCAGCAAATTGCGAGAATGGGCAGGCTCGTCCGGGCCTCTCAGAAGACCAGCGTTAAGTGGATGAATAGCGCGTTTGCGATCTTTCGCGTTTCATCTGGTGAGATAGGTAGCCGGCACCCACTTTTTTAAAATTTATCGACGCATCTGCAAACCCTCAAGTATTTTAAATATCCATGAGCGGCGTTTCACTTAACATCAGGTGAACCGCTTGCTCGTCTGACAATTTTTCACATACAAAAAAGAAAACCCTTCTATATGGAGACTTTCACGGTTACTAAAGTATTGGCCCGGCAACGGAACAACTATTTATGTGACCCACAGATAGTTGTTTCGCATCTGGGTGTTTGTCCACGTTAAATTTATGTATGTGAAACGTCCTTACACCACAAAATATTGTTATCTTAAAGCAAGGGCAATGTTGTTTTTTAAAAAAAAAAAAACATTGAATTTTGACATATCGTCAAAATACTTTTTAAAAATACGCACAAGTATAGGTAGCATTAAATGGACGGTCATTTGATTAAAGACGAATGGATAAAACTAGTCAATAAAGGATCTCCTCTGTTGTTTTATGTAATCGTAATTTTATAGATTATTAATATCTTACATCCATTTTAAGTTATGTGCATTAGTAGTCTTAAA